TACCAGGTAGAGAATATTGTGCATTCATTAAGGACTGGGCCATCATTGACCATTCTTTCCAGTACAATAAGATGACAACTTTGGTGACTGGAGGGATGGTGGTGCCCTCTGTAGTACTAGAGGAGTATTAGAAGAAGGGAGGATTTGGGGGGAAAGATAATATAATGAAATCTATAATAAAGATTGCAACCTATCCATGCTTACTAATTTTGTGAGACAATGTCTCACCTAAAATGAAAAGATATGGGGGCAGGGCATAGTAGTCATAACATTATCTGAGGGCAGAGTCTGGGGATATTGAGCAGAAGCAGGACATTTTACCAGGTTGGTTGCCAGGGTCAACACCTGGAAAATAGATGAGTGGGGGATTATTGAGATAATTCAGGAAGAAAGTGGTATAGATTTGTTGGAGACAAACCCATGATTGGCTGTAATGTGGAGGGTGGAATTTGACCAATCCTCCCACCTTCTTATTGGTCGATCACACAACCCTTGGCGTCATACTATAGCCCCATGAAGGCACATAGCGCCACTTTGAAGACCACTGCCATAGCTGATAAAACCCCCCTTCTAACACATTACCAAGAAGTAGTTATCTAATTTCTTGAAAACTTCTTGTGAAGGGAATTATTACCTTCTCAGTCAACTCATTGTACTTTTGGACAGTTCTAATTGTGAGAAAGTTTCCCCTAACTTTGAACTAAAATCTGCCTCCACATTTTTCATCCATTGTTTTTGGTTTTGCCTTCCAGGAAGCTGATAAAGGGTTAACCCAGGAGTCAGGAAGCTCTGGGTTCAAGTTTCTCCTATAGGACAGATTGACTCTGTGACCCCTACAAGTCATTAATCTTTCAGTGCCTGAGACAACTCTATAAGGCTATAAGTTGGAGATCAATTGCTGATTTGCACCGCTAGCAGTTTTCTTTACTCTCATGATAGTATAGGTCAGGACCAAAACAAACAAACAAAAAATGATCATGCCTCCCATAAGACATTTCTTTCCAGGTTAAGCAGCTCCAGAAGTTATATGCTTTAGTTTGTTAATGTCCTTCCTAAAATGGGGCACCCAGAACTATATATTGTTGTTCAGTTGTTTCAGCCATGTCCAACTCTTTGTGACCCCATTTGGGATTTTCTTGGCTAAGACACTGGAATGTGTTGCCATTTCCTTCCCCAGCTCATTTTACAGATGAGGAAACTGAAGCAAACAGGGTTAAGTGACTTGCACAGGGTCACACAGCTAGTTTGTGTCTGAAGCTGGATTTGAACCCAGATGTTCCTAGCTCCAAGCCTGGTGTTCTATTCACTATTCACTAGTGCCACCTTCTGTTGCAGTTGTTGTTAAGTTGTTTCAATCATGTCCGATTCTTTGACTCCATTTGGGGTTTTCTTAGCAAAATGATTTGCATTTCCTTCTCTAGCTCATTTTACAGATAAGGAAAGAGAGACAACAAGGTTAAGTGACTTGCCCAGGATCACACAGCTAGTAAGTGTCTAAGGCTGAATTTGAACTCGGATCTTCCTGACTTCAGATGCCTTGTTCTATCTGTTGTACCACCTAGCTGTTTATTGCACTAACACAGCAGGAATATGCAACAAAGATACAGTGACACTTAACTTCTGTAGAGTCAGTTTCCCTTGGGGAATGGAAATGCCTCTTGGTCACAGGGCAAAGTGTAATGCCTTGAGTGGTCTTCAGATATCTGCCAAGTTGGAAGGGCCATAAAAAGTCTCACCTATGTGGATTGGGTGCCCCTCTGCCCAAGGACCTATATCATCCATTCAGCAAGATGAAGAACTGCCACTCTCCTTGCAGGGGAGAGGCTTACCAACCACAGCATTCTCTAGTTGATGGTGGACATGATTGGAAGAGCTGATGAACAGGTCAGCTAGAGTAGGGAGCAGTGGAGATGCCCCAGTGAGGATCAGCTGAAGCGGAGTCTGGAAGGGAATCAGATAAGCAGTTCCAGCAGAGAACAGTGTGATTATATTAGTAGCAAAGAATTAGTAAAAGAGAACGATAGTTCAGTAGTGTCAGAGGTGTGATTTGTCTCTCCATACATGTCCTGTAGTGATGTCATTCTTTTCACGTGTACCCCTTCATGAGGGTATCCTGACTACATGTTATTTTCAAATGTGGATATATGATATATGATTCCTATGAAGTTTACTCTTCCTATTGCATATATTTGTGGGAGAGTGAATTCAGTGTTTATGGAGGCAATGTTCTATAGCTACTTTATTTACATTGCTATTTTATCAATGCTTTATCTTTGAATAAAATATGTCTTCTGATTGACTAATAAAGTGAACATTTAAGTAGGGGCTTATGAATAATCATTTGGAGACAATTCTAACCCATACCATACCTATAATTCCAGATAGCAAGCTAATAAGAGGGTCTTGGCCTGCATGAATTCATTGCTTCTTCTTGTTCTTTCTTACCTCAGTATGGCTGCCCATTGCCATTCATCTAGTCTCATATGGTCACAACTCTGGCATTGTTAATTTTTCCTTCTTTCTTCCTGCTCATTCAATCAGTTGTCAAGTTCTGACTTTTATATTGATACACTATCTCTCATCTATTTTCTCTTCTTGATTCCCACAGCCACCAACGTAATAATGCAGGTTTTATTACTCCTCACTTAACTCAAATCAATCAAATACATCTGATTTAATAAGTATTTATCAGGTATCTACTATATACAAGTTACAGTGCTAAGTGCTGAGGACACAAAGACCAAATGAAATGTCCCTTTCTTGCAGGGCTTACAGTTTGTTGAGGGTGGGAGAAAAGCATTTTTAAAGTGCTTATTATGTGCTGGGCATTATGTCAAATATTTATGTGTACAAATATTTGATTTTTATAGCAACCCTGGGAAGCAAGTATCATATAGAGGATATATACATATACATATATAATATATATATATATATAGCCATTGCCTTTGTCATTGTCACCATCTTCATCTTCATTGTCATATTCATCATTGTCATAATCTTCAGTATTCTCAACATCATATATCTATATCTAGATATATATAGATAGAGGATATAGAGATATAGAGGAAACTGAGGCAGACAGAGATTAAGTGATTTGCCTGGAGTCATATAACTAGTAAGTAGCTGAGGTCAAATTTGAATTCAGGTCAGAAAAGGTTTTATCTAGGCAGTGATACTTGAGCTGAGCCTTGAAAAGAGCTAGATAAGTGAAAATAAAGAATAAGGCTGGCACAGAGTAGGAGATCACTGGTAATTTTGGAAAATGCAGTTTCAGTCGTGTGTGTGTGTGTGTGTGTGTGTGTGTGTTCTCAGAAGCTGAATTGAAAGAATGGAAGGTGAGGTAAGGAAGTTAAGAGTAACTTTTCTCACTTTCTAGGAGATTGGTTGTGAGAGGGAGGAAAGATATAGGATGATCATTCTAGGAGGTTGTGGGGTCAAATGAAGGGGTTTTTTTTTGATGGCAGAAATATCTGCATGTGTTTGTAGGTAGCAGGGGGAGTCAGAGGATAAAGAGAGATTGAAGATTAGATAGATGGAGGGATGATTGAAAGGGTAAATTCCAAGAAAATCTAGGAGGGAAGGGAATCAAAGGAACAAGTGAAGAGTTGGCAAAGAGAAAGCCCACTTCTTCCAAGATGGTTTCCACCATGCCAAAGAAAGGGAAATAAAGGTATGAAAGATCCCAGGCAACTTGGAAGACATCGTTTTTGGCTACCATCTTCTGTGTTCCAACTTTGGAGGCTTCAAAGCATCTCTCAAGTTTACTGCCCATTCACTACTGAAAAACTTCTCAGAACTGGTCTCTTCATGATCTCTGGTAAGAAGGCAGCACTGGATCCAATCAAACTCCCTTTCCCAGAAAACAAAGCCTTTATTTGTTTTGTTTAACTTCAGGTTGTCTTCTCTCACCCTCTCTTCCTGGGTCCCCAAGAGCTTAGCAAATGGTTTCTAACAGCTCATGTGGCTAATTTAGGGCAAACATGTTCAAAGTCAAAATTAATGTTCCCTTTTTACAGAAAATGCCCCAAGGGCAGAGAATTCAGGAAATTGTGTGTCACTCTGATGGAAAACAAATGAAAACCTCAACAGCAGAAATATCAGCCAATGAATGTCTCACATATCCATTGCCTCATGCCATTGGAGATATATATGGCACATGACAGGCAGGGGAGCACTCAAAGAATGAATTCTCTTCATTCCACACTTCACCATCTCTTCCACTGTTGATTGACACAGATAACAGGAAAACAGTGCAGGCTAAGAGAAATGTACATCTCTGCAAAAGGCACAAAAGTTTGTTTTGGTTTTTAGATTCAAATATAGGAAGTGGACTGTTTCCATAATCTTGTATCTCCCCGGAGCCTAGCACAGTGCATGGCATACTTTTTTTTGTCTTTGAATTTAATTGAAGGTAGCAACTTATTAAAATCTCCATGATTCCATTGCCTTCATCATCATTACATCTTCATCTTCATTGTCATTTTCATCATTGTCATAATCTTCAGTATTCTCAACATCATAATAAAGGCCAAACTTCCCTGATAAAGAGCCTGACAGTTTTGTAGAGAACACAGAACCAAGTTCTTCACAAAACTCTCTCACATCTATTCCCCTTCTCTCCACTCACATGATCACCACTTTGGTTTAGGTACTTACCAAGTAATAGCAGCAGGGCAGTTTTGAAGATAAAATGAAATAATATTTGGACTAAGCCCTATACAAATGCTTATTATTGCTATTATAATTATTAATCTCCTGTACCATAGACCTACTCTCCCAATTCTCCAATCCATCTCCTACTCAGCTGCCAAATTAGTGTTCTTAATACATAGGCCTGATCACATAATTTCCCTACTGCCTCTAGGATAAAATACAAACTTCCCTGGATGGTTTTTAAGGCTCCTCCCATTCTGGCTCCAACTTATGTTTCCAGATTGATTTAATCTTATTCTTCCTCATACACTTTGTTCCTGAAAAACTGGTCCTATACATGAAATTCCATCTCTACTCTCTCTGCTTTTACATACGCTATCCTTTGTGCCTTGGATATACTCCTGTTAGCAAAGAGCTTTGACCCATGTTACCTCATTTGGTGCCCATGACAATCCTGTGAGGTAGGTGCTATTACTACCCTCATTTTATACATGAGGAAAGTGAAGCAAAGAGAGGTAAAATGAGTTGTCTAGGGTCACCCAGCTGGTTAAGTGTTTGAGAGAATTCCAACTCAGCTCTTTCCAGTTCCAAGTCAAGTACCCCACCCACCTAGCTGCCTCAGGAAGTGACGGCCATATAGCAGGTGAGTAATGGACACTTGTTGAATGAATGAATGAGGACACATTCCTGTTCTTAGTTTATTCCATGAAAAGAGAGCTACACTAAAGTTGTCCTTTTAAGAACTACCCGGTTTGAGGAGTTACCAGTGAAGAGGCATGGGACATTTTGAGATGTGGGACTTTTTCTGGGATTGTTACAATCCCAGATTGGGTAATCTTAAGTCAGCACAACTGGGACTTCATTTTAGAATCTGCCATGTTTCTGAAATCCAACGGATCATGAAATACAGATGTCACTGGGGCTATTAACAAAGCAAGATATTTTGAGTCATTGATGGGACTTTGAGAGGCCAGAAATTCTTAGAAATCTGTTTGAATTCCTTCAAATATTTTTCTTAGAATGGTGCCCTTGAGTGCTTTCTGGAAATGCCATTTTTGAGTGAAGAGGTTGGATCAGAGTCATTTCTGATCTTTATTTTCTTTTACTTGGCAAAAGGGTCTCAGGAGATGGTAATCAAAAAGTATTAGTTTTCTGAGAGCGACTGACATGATAATACTTAATGTAGATAATACCGGACAGTTAAGTTTTCCCACCTGTTTTTATGTTGCTTAACCCTCCCTCCTCCTAATATGAGTTTCATTAACTGTGACACAGTTGTGAAGAAATACTTGACTTATTTAGCGAAGGGTTTTTAATCATGGTACCATAAGACATGGATGTTACTGGAACACTTTAGGAAATATCCTTTATTGCAGCCTTCTGCCCCCTCCCCTTTCCCCTTTTGTTCAATCTACATAGCAGCCTCTTCTGTTTAAGGCTTGATTTTGAGTTGCTTCCTCTGGAGTAGGGACTGTTTTGACACATGCTAAGTGAGACGTATCAGTGTGACCAGTGGGGCTGAATCTGCCTTCATATGGAAATAAATAAGTCTGATGCTACTATCTTCTCCAACTAGGAAGAAGTGAAGGTTGAACCACACTGGGGCACAGAATTGTACACTCTGTAATACTTCTGCTGAGAAATGCATTTGTCACCTTCCAAACTGATAGAATGGAAGAAATCAAATGAAGTATGAGATTAACGATAATCATGGCAATATCTATAGCTCTTAGGTTTTCAGCTCTTATCTGAGCCTCACAACAGCCCTGTGGGGCTGATATAAAACGCATTGTTATCCTCACTTTACTGCTGAGGAAGCACAGGCTCAGAAAAGGTATGGTCACATAATTCGAATCTGAGGCAAGATTTGAATCCTGATCCTTCTGCCTCCAGTTACAATTCTTACCCCTTGCCAGCCATTTTTTCCCCTAAAAGCTTCCTTTCCCTGACTTTTCATAATAAGAAAATATATTTTAGAAGAATCTGTTCAAAGGTTTAATTCAGTTTAGGCTGTCAAAAATGTTTTCTTCTTAGGAACAAGATCTGGCAGGAGGATAAATACTGCAAGTAAATCTCTGCTCTGCTTCTTACTATCTATGCACATTTTTCTGCCTATTCACTGCCCTATGCCTCAGTTTCCCCAATGGTAAAATGAGGGGAATCAACTAGATGACCTTTAGGATCTCTTCCAGCCTTGTATGTCTTATCTTATTACCTTCTCCAACACTTGTGATCAATTGATCAAAAGCTATTCATTCTTTATTGGTTACCACTGAACATGGATACAAAGTGCCTGGGCTTCAAGCAAGCTTATATTTCATAGCTTATGTATTCACTTATTTACAGAAAGGCTTTAGGGAAAAAATACCCTTGGATTTTATTAAGAAGCAAAATATGTGAGCCTGAGGAAGGGAGTGTAGATAGGGCTGGAAGGAATCTCAGAGGTCATTGAGTCCCACCCCCTCACTTTAGAGATGAGATGGCCAAAAGTGATACTAAGTTGGAGTCTGCCCTCTTCATTACAAGGCTCATTGATTAGGGCTTCCCAGGGAAATTAATTCATGAAGTTATCCCAGGAGGAATTTCCATTGGCTTAGGAAATGGGCCACGGAGCATAGACCTCAAGAGCAGCTGTGGAAACCAAATTGAGAAGCCAAGGAAGAAGGAGAAAATGATAATGAACTGGTGCCAAATGGGTCCAAAGAGCTAGAGAGAAGCATGAATACAAAGAGAGGGAGGGGAAGGTATCTGGCTGTTTAAATGAAAAATGACTCTCCTCAACAATCACCTTCTGTCAATAAAATGCTTATTTTCTGACATGTCAATTAGGTGATTCATAATCCAGATGACCATCGCCTTCCATTTAGGACCTGCAACCGGGTTAAATGTCTGAAGTGTTTACCCTTCATGCCCAGTGGCAGGTATCTGTTCTTAGTCAAACCGGCCTATCCATGACATGTTTGCCTGTAGGATTTCTCTGGAGGTAAAGTAACCATTTTTATCAGACTTTAAACAGAAGGGCAGATTAGGACAGTGGTGTTGTTTTTTTTCCCCCTTCTAACCATCAGCACCAGAGGCTCTTATTCTACAGTACCAGAGGGTGCCCCTAAAGAGGGAGGGAGCCGAGCACAGGAGTTCAATGCAGAAGAAGGGGCCTATAATTTAAAGGGATCCATGTGAACTGGGACCATGTAGTGCAGTTTGGGACTTCAAAGGGAACTTCTGTTCTAGAGAAAGCTGGTTATTAGGGAATAAAAGGTTTGTCCTTAGCACCATGAGCCACTTTGAAAAAGATCTGATGCTCTTTCTGTAACTAAGCAGTCTTAGAAAGTTGCTTAAGCTTAGAGATAAAGTATATTGATGGTAGAAGAAAGGTAAGAAAGAAATAGGGATTTTTTAAAGTGCCTGTGCTATAGGGCAGTGTGCTAAGTGCTTTACAAACGTTATTTAATCCTCACCACAATCCTGTGAAGTAGGTGCTATTGTTATCTCCACTTTGAGGTTGAGGAAACTGAGGCAGACCAGGTGAAGTGACTTGCCCAGGTCAATAGCTATTGTGTCCGAAGCAGAATTTGAAATCAGGTCTTCTGACTTCAGGCCCATGCTCTGTCCACTGCTCAACCTAGCTGCTACGGTCAGCTGGCTAATGAGTACCAGAACTGAGATTTGAACTCAGGTCTTCCTGACTCTATTTCCATTATACCATATTGCCTTTCTACTCTAAAGTTAATATCTTTTGAAAATAATTGTAAAAAATGGGAAAATATTTCATTTTCTTAGAAAAGGTAAAGTATGAAGGGATAATGATAATGATGATCATAAACTAACATTTATATAGCACTTACTGTGTGCCAGTCACTATGTTAAGCACTTTATATTATTATCTGATTTGATTCTCACAATAACCGTGGGAGGAAAGGGATATTATTTCTATTTTACAGATGAGGAAACTGAAGGAAACAGAGGTTAAGTGACTTGTCCCAGGTCACATAACTAGTAAATGTCTGAGTTCGGATTTTTAACTTGGGTCTTCCCGACTTTATGCTTAATGCTCTAACCACTGTGCCATCAGCTGCCATGGTTATCTTGGCTAATGAAATTTGGAAGTTCAAACTAAAGTACTAAATCAATGATCCTTCCATACCTTACACTTCTAAGTGTAAGTATTTAAAAGTTGCTTAAGTTCAGAATATTCAAATGATTGTCTGGATAGTGAGTACCAGAACTGAGATTTGAACCCACGTCTTCCTGACTCTATTTCTCTATACCTGCTGCCTCTGTGATGCCTTTCTAATCGAAAAATTAATGTCTAAAAGAAAAATTGTGGGAAATGGAAAAATAGTTATAGACAAAGTATGTATAGATACGTACCAACACACACACATACCCACACACCCCTCCTCCCATATGTAGGTGTTCATACACACACCAATATATGAGTTCACATATATGTACACACATATGTATGTACATACACATCATGTGTATTCATATATGTGTGTATAATATATATACATTTACATGCATCTGTGCTGGGCTCTACATGTTAGCCAAGTTTGAGTTATTGCATGTTCTTGAAATACAATTGTATTTCTTTAAAAAAAAGTAACAGTGAATAATATTCACAGTGCCTTACATATAATAAGTGCTTACTAACTGCTTGTTGACTCACTGACTGCTACTGATTTAGACTGTCTTCCTTTCATAGAACAAACCAGTGAGATGTGATCACTGAGCATTTTAAGGCCAGGTTTAGCATATGTGAACTAGTATCTTTAAAATCCAGAGACTTTCACACTCCTTCCTGCTTTGAACCACCCCAGAGGGAAACTAGATACTTACATGGTGGCCAGTAGGACAGCTGGGATGGGGGCGGGGAAGTGGGGGGGGGCTGTCCCCCCTCCCCAAGGGCAGGGAGGGAACAATACAATGGTGGTCTCACTGTCCCTGGAAATACTGCCTGGCAAGCTGGTGCTAGAATTTGCTTTGGAGAGGCTGACTGACATAGTTTGCTCTGAATTGTTTGTTTACATGAAGCTCAAAAGAGTGAAAATAAGAAGACAATCTGACCCTTTCACAGCCAATCAGGAGGCTTTTGTCTCACTTCACTCCTGCATTTCCTGGATTTGGAGTTTTTTTAAAGAGTTCCATCAGAATAGCTTTGTGGTGAGCTAACTAATTACACCAAGCTCACAATAAAGATAACATCTATATTATCATTAGTAGTAGTATTAGAAGTAGCAGTAGCAGCAACAATAATGATAATGATGGTTACATAAGGCTGAAAACATTGTCATTGAAAACTCTTGGTAAATAGTTTTCTACACCTTATGTGGTCTAAGTGGGAAAAAAAAACCTTAAAAAAATTAAAGAGTTGGTAAATCTAAATTGTTTGCTGGGTTGGACCTAATTGTGTCTCAGAGTCAATAACTTTTTGTGATGGACAAAGGTGATCAGATTAGGAAATATATCTCTGACAGTCATGGGACGGGAAGAGAGATCTGATGCCCTCCCCCTTCCTTTTCTAATCTTTCTACTAAAGCCCTATAAATACCTGTGTGAAGGACCCTCTGTTTAGCTTGGCAAGTCCAGTTGAGTGTTATAACCAAAATAACTTTCAGTGAGTTAGGGGGATAATCCCTC